GGGGGGGGGGGGGGGGGGGGGGGGGGGGGGGGGAGACACATCTTGTGTCCAAGTCTCAACGTTTCTACCTCCTGATGCATCATGTGCCTCGCACATCAGCCAGGCCTTCTTTTCATACTCTAACACCAAAGGGCATGTAAGGACTGATTTAAAAGGAGTTGCTTACTTACCAATTATGTTGGAGTTCATAAAAGGTGTTGGGGACAATTCTTCACTGGACACTAATCGGCTGTCGCTCATATGATCACTGTAATGAGGGCTGTCTGCGAAACCCTGGGGGGGAGAGCAGAATATAGTTCAGGATACTGAGCGCCTTCAGTAAGCTGAAAATGGAGAAGACTTTGTCAATAAACAATCTGGATAAAAATTATTTTCAATGTGGATGGAATTTGATGGATTTTCATGCGAGAAGCACTTTTACACTTCACTCCTTTTTTCAGGATCACCCACTGTAAGAGAAAACAATCAACACCAAATATTTAACCTTTTTATGACATCATAATTACTGACACTTTATTGTACTTTATTGTTGTAAATATATTTCTCATCTCATCACAACCAATTAAATAAATACATTATTTCAAGCCTTTGTTGTCCATATATGTGCTTCATCCATTTATTAGGTTAAAAAATAAATCTTCAGCATCATATATGCTCATTATTTGGAGCAGCTATTTTTAGATATGGTCCGATGTAGATCATGACCCACTGCTGTTTGTTAAAAGGGGAAAAACACAGACAATGCCGTCCAGCATTGTTTCCTGACACCTGCAGCTTATAAAAATTGCCTCTTTTCCCCTGCAGTTTCACACAGCCAGTTATCAGCATCTGGGGCTTAGGTCTAAATATCGGTCACTGTGTGCTCCTTGGAGCCAACGTAATAAAAGACGCTTCGTTACGGTTAATACCAAACCCAGTGAAAATCCTCCTGTGCTCCAGTCAAACACATCTCCCGAAACTACATTAACTTTTACCAGACGGACCAAGCTACGTTAGCCTTGCATTTTTATACAGCTCATACCCCCCCACCCCATCGTAGCCTTTGCTTTCAACATGGAGTTTTTAAAAAAGCAGTAAATCTTATTATCCATCTCTTTTTTTGTGAGTGGATGGTGATGGAGTAATTTCAAAGGCAGCGAAGTGTTTTGCTGCGTCGAGGGATTCCCTATTGTGCTCCTGCCAGCCTGCACACACTGTTAATCACACCATGAACCAACTCCATAACAACAACAGCCCAGTGAGAAGCTCGAGCAAACTAATACGCACGCGTGCACCAAGACACACACACACACACACACACAGCTGAAAGAAGGAAGTGGGGGGAAAAAAAGAAAAACATTTCATCCTTTCTGCTGCAAAACAACAAGCAGGCTTTGTGGATTAAATTATAAGATGAACCCTTTTTTTCATTTTCCTCCAGAGTGTGGATTTAAAGGAGTGTGTTGGAACATGGAAATAAACCCAGTGGATTGAGTAGACTTTTGAAATCACACATCAGATAATGTGGTCCGGTACCGAGCAGCGTATTCTCCACTGAGTCTCTCTCTCAGATAAGGAGGCAACAATCCTTTTTTTTTAGGTGTCTAAGCCTGACACTTGGTGTACGCTCCAAAATCCACTGAGAAAGGTTTCCTGGTTTAAGTCCACCTTAAGGGACATGATGGTGCTGAAAGTTTTGATTCACGACAATGATGAGTAACGGGTGGGCAGGAGAAAATCAGCAGAGAGGCTCCAGAAAGGAAAGAAATGGCAGGGAAGCTTTAAGACTGTCCATTTATTAAATGGAGCATCCAAATGGGAATTGCTTTTTGGCACAAATGTTGTAGCAAACCAAGGATTCCCATGAGGTGCCAAGAGGCAAGTCAGCAAAGAGAGAGTTGCATGTTTTAATTAAATTTTTACGTCAAATTTCACTGAGAAATATTTTAGTCTTCTAACAGCTGATATTCAAGTTAGAGCAATCTTTAGTTCTTAAGGCAGCCAGAGAAATGTTGAACGTTGCAGGACAACCTTTTGGAAGCAGGGCTCAGACTAGAAGTTTATGTCAACGATGCCTTTCTTAAAGATAGAACATGAGTTCTATGGATGATGGATACAATGACTGCAGGATCAGATTTTTCTGTAAGTAATGAGTACCATTATTTTCATTTCTGTATATTACCAGATCATCAGCAGACTTGAAAGAGACACATCTGAAAGGTGCTGTAACTGATTCTGCACAGTTTGAAATGAGGAGTCAAAAGAAAATTAGTTTGAACTGTAAGCCCCGCCCCTTACCGTCTCGCATTGAGAAACTTTCCTCCCACTCTGTGTGCAGGTGATAATGCGCACATCTCGTAATGAAAGTAATGAAAAGATATCTTTCTAGGAGGACAACAGCCAGTTTGGAGATCCAGATTGAGCCTTAGGCCCTGCAAAATTCGCAAACCTTGAGGAGGCTGGTCTGAGATTTACACAAGCTTTGTTCCTTCTTTGGTCATTCCTGTATTTCAACTCTCTCTTTTCTTCATCTCTTTGGAGCCTTTTGAGCTTTTTGTTTAATATGCAGTGATTGCCAGGGGATGTATTGCAACTTTCCTGCATTTAATGCCATGCTTCTCTGTTTGCACACGTGCTAAGAGAAATCAAACCTGGTTGGGAATCCTTCCTAGTGGCTGATTGGAAACAGGAAGCTCTACAGCTGGCATCCCCAATTCAATCAATTCAAATCAATGTACATTGATAGTTGACAAACAGGCTTTTGCTGAACTGCAACCATCACAAACAGCGAAGCTAAAGCAGAGAAACCTCTAAAACCTGCAGGAAACCGGCCCTCATCTACAGAATGAAACCCATTGACAGATAAAAAGCCACAGCAAAGTCTACACTCAGTATGCCTGGATCAGTGCATATGCACAGCTAATGATCTTAATAAAATGACTTCCTCTGCCACAAAATATATACATCGTTTTTTAGAGAGATTAAAATAAAATCTAGTACAGGGCCTTTAAGAGCATGAGCAAAAAAACATATTTAAGTTGACATATGGTTTGTATAGAATGCTGCAGTTAAGTAAGGGGAGGGGACTGTGAAGCAAGAAAAGACAAAGCAGGGGAAAGAATGTACTCATATAACTGACTGTTTACATGAAAATCTTGCTATGGCAAAATGTGACTCTGTTATGTCAGAGGGAGAAAATCCTCTTTAAGTAAGTTAACTGATCATTTTAATAGCAAAAATTCAACATTGGATTATCTTTATGTTACCTTATAACCTATTTTCACATAATGGGGGAAGACAGAAGTTCCTATTATGACATCTCTCAGTTTATGGTGAGTATATAAAGCCAGTAGGGTTTGACCTTCTGCACTAAAGGGCACTAAGACAAGAACCCAACCATATATAGGCTGTCCAAAACGTATAAAAAGTATTTTTGTAACATTAGATACTACATTGCACGCCTCCACCCAGAGTCAGTAAAACAATATCCTGACATTGTCGGCCAGAGGACAGTCAACAAAGACTTTTCCTTAAAGAATAACTAAACCCCAAATTAACATCTTCTGCAGATAAACTATATCTGCTACTTACTGGGCCTATCCTTATGTTATGGTAGAAATTTTGACTTTTTTTTTTTCATGAAAACTTGTTTAATTTAGCAAACTCTGGCCTAAAACCCTCTTAGTGCTAGCCTCTATCTGTTTTAATCATGGCTTCTGCTGTCTATTTTCACACTGTTAAACTAGTAAAGCTTCGTCCATTAACGTTGCCGTTGATTTTCCTCAAAACTTGGAAGTAAAAAGTCAGAGTGACCTAATCTCCAAGATGATAGTGTTCTAGTTTCCTGCCTGTTGATATTTATATTCATTCTTTGTTTATGGCCTCTGCTACAACTAAAAAACTTACAATAACTCTGCTCTATGAGGTAAATTCTAAGTAAACTGAATGCATGATAAAACAGTCTCACTCAGACACCCAATTATGACGAGTCACAAGTTGAGAATGTGATCAATAGCACTTTTCAGGGGGTTCATTTATGACTTATTGATCAACAGCATTTTATTTAGTCATATCAAATCAATGTCATTGACCTCGTCCAGCCCGAAACCCCCTTAACCCCCTTCACTCATCCGAACACTTGGCCGTTTCCTGGCACTGCCACTTCTGAGACATTTTTCAAAATGTGTCTGGGGGCAGGGTTATGCTTTACATCTTGTTTAGTTACACTTTAAGGGAAGTTTCAGGCTAACAACATAATAATACAAATTATAATAAATAATTTGTTTCAATTTACTATGGGAGCAATCCAACCTTTGACAAGCATGGACTGCAAATGCTGTAAGGCTAAGGAGCATTCTCTGGATCTCCAAGATACTTCAAAGACACATTAAACACCAAACTCTACAACAGCACTAAAACCAAGTCCTTGGATCATTATAAACTGCTATGATAGATTTAATTGGCCTGGAAAACAATTTCTGATGTGTGGCAGCAGACATGACTTTCAACTCTAAGAGCTGGGAAAGGCAGTCTAACTATGGAAAATAAAGGAATGGTTGTTACTGATGAGGAGGGTTTTTGGATTTGTTTATTGTCAGTGTATCAATGCTGATGGCCTGGCATCCATGAAGCCCACATTACTGTATTAAATCATGTTTCTTTATATTATGAGGGAAATTAAAGACTTGATATCATTGGTCTGTGTTTCAGCAATCTATACAACGTACCTCAATGAATGAATTGTTTTACTCAAATACATTAACCCTTTATAAATATTCTATTACAAATATTAGGACTCTACAATTGCATTAAAGTCATCTGTACATCTAAACCCAATTCAATTTTGAAGTGAATACGGTTAAAAGAAAATCATATTGGGTTCAAAATGTACTTAATAGGTTCCCAATTTATCTTAATACAATAGTTTTTTTGGGCGTGTAAAATGTCTTTCTTGCATTTTGGGATGGTACGCTTTGGTGGATCAAACTGTTATTCTCTTCAGAACAAGCACTGAAACATTTTTTTTCATTTTGGCATTAAATACTTTCTGTTATTACCTGGAATCAATTCTGATTTCTTTTTTTTTTTTTTTTGTCTTTTTCTTTGTTTTGAAGAAGCAAGCAATATCTTAGCTTTTTAGTTTGTTATGATTTTCAGTCAATTCAATTAATAAGCCCGCTCTTGGTATGCAATATCAACTGCCCATCTAACTGTCATTTTTTGAGATGGCACTTCTAACAAAAAAAACAACAAATTTTGTTTCTTGAAAGTGAAGAAATACTGTAGTCTCATGCCTTGTAAATTAAAAAAGAGGCTTACTGTAGCGATGACAACAACAAACAAGGTACCCCCCTGCGTCCTATGTAAATTAGATTATAAAATATTTAACTCCATGTTCTATATAAACAGATGCTTCTAGAGGGTATCAGCAGCACCCTGTCTGACAGAGAATGGCACCATTGTTCTTTCTTTCTCTATAAACAGACTTATTACTCTGTGCTTTGCTGCTTTGAGTCAGTTAGATCATCAATCACAGGTTGCTCATCATTCCCAAACACTGGTGGCCTACATCCATCCAAGACACTAACACATTCTGTCATGGCAGCCACAGGGCGACGTTTGCACTACTGGCTAAATAACTGTCAGATAAGTATGGCAGGGAGCAGGCCAGAGCTCACGCCTTGCTCCCTGATCACTCGCTGCACTGTTTAAACAGTCCTTTTTTCCCCACTCTGGGCAGCATCCCAGGTGAATACATGGCTGCATGTGGCTCCTTGGGAAGTCATGATATGGTCGTGATGGATGCACGTGGGGTCGGGTATCAGTTGGGGCAGGGCGCCTGGGAAGAGGGGGGTTGTCATGTGGTGGCAGCGGGCACAGCCCTGCCTGTCAGAACGGCGGTCTACAGCCACAGCTACCCAGGAAACAGCGGCTGGCTGCGAGCCAAGGTCGGCGCGGCGGGTCTCTGGACTGTTCACAGTCGACTGATCACACACTCATAGCACACCAGCAAACAAGCTCAGGGACAGGACTAAATTCCCTTTGTAGCAGACTGAAGGATGAGGCAGAATTCCTTCCACAAGCCTTGGACACATTTCTTGAATAAACTTCAGATTGATATTTTTCTCTAAAAGAATACGCTTATTTTTCTGTCAAATGTTTTGATTCTCTTTCTTTGTGGAACATTGAAAGCAGGTACATTTGCACCTCATGAAACAAAATTTAGAACATCTTTTGTTGAAAGAAGTCATTATGAACTCTTACAAAATCAAAGCAAAGGAAAATATGAGAAAATTCATGAAAGCATGAAGTATTTGTTAGAAATCGTAGGCATTTAATAATCTCTGCAAACATTCAGAAATATCCAAATAATGCACACTCAAACTAGCTTATTAAAATACATGTAACTGAAATACAAACCCTTCCTGAAAAACACAGCAAGAAAATGCTGCATTTAACTTCCATACCTCAATATATAAAATCTAATTATTGACAACTATAACAACTTTGATTAATTAATAATGTTGTGTTATGTCAAGAAAGTGTTTCAGTTTAAGAATAGACTTAATTCACAAAGATTATTATAACCCTGAAAGGTTAAACAAGACATGTGTTTAAAAAAAAAAACCTTATTCAAATATTTTTCTTAAACTCACTTCATTTAAATGACATTTTCACAAATTAGGTACACTGATTCTATTTATATTTCGAATAAAAGTGAAACCTCTAGCCTAAAAAATAAACAATAATTATACATAAATTATACTAAATTACATAATTACACTATTATACATACATAATTATACAAAACAATAATTCATAAGCTAAACTCTCCCATTAGCTGTGACACTTTTCAATTAAAAATTCATTTTTAATGGTTCAGTATATGGTTATAATATTTTTTAAGCAATGTCATCAGTTAAAACATCAGCTACTACTACAGGTATACGTTATTAACATTCAGGTCTTTCATTTTAGTCGAATCTTAAGACCATTTAGGTTTTAGATCAGATTGGGGAAAATTTCTGTATGTAAACATAGCTTCTGACTAATTCTGAAGACGGTCAAACTACCGTCTTCAGAATTAGATGGCTAGTGTACCGAACTACACTAGCCATCTATACATGCAAACAGTTTCCGGTTATGAAATGTATTAAGACTTAAAACACACAAAAAAATTGTAAATATAGCTTATGTGGACATATGTGATCGTGCTAAACCTGCCATTCACAACATTCTGACTAGCGGGAATACGTCAGGTCATCATGGGATACACATGCGCACTCAGGTCAGCTTGCCAGCAATTATACGCCTGTCAGAATTTTCTGATTGACATGTCCATCGCACATTTTTAATGCGAGCGTCTGTTTATTACGATTACTTATGTCTAGGGCTGCAACAATCAATGAGATTAATCGAGATTAATGATTACTGACTGTAAAACATGCCATTAATTGACGGAGCTGTAAAAAAATATAAACATTTTGCGTAAAACATTTTTTTCAAGATAAAAAAATGTTTTCGTCCATCAATATGCTCTATCCAGAACTCCTCAAAGGTTTGTTTCACCTGGTTTGATTTCGTAAAGTCTTTTTTAAGGAACCACTTAAAAATCGATTAATCAAAAATATAATCAACAGATTAATCGATTTGCAAAATAATCGTTAGTTGCAGCCCTACTTAAGTCCATGTTGAGAACCTATGTCCAACAGTACGGATACCATGAGACAGTGGTGATCAAATGTAAGTTTTTATTTAAAAAGTGATATGAAACATGCTGTTAATGTCTAGCATCCATCCATCTCCCCATACCCATAAATGGATGAAGAACTGAAATCATAAAAATGAGCTGTATGTCCAAATCTTTAGGAAAACAAAATGTCTGTGCAGCTGTTTTTAAGCATGCATGCAGACCTTATGGATGTGCAAACAGCTGTCTGCTGGCTGGCGCCGTTCCTCATAATGTCAGAATCACTCATTTATATGCACCTGGAGCAAACATATCTCAAGCTTCTCTGTCTTCTAATTCAAATCAAGCTGCCTATGTTACCATAGCCTGTAGATGTTCATTCGGGAAGGGCACAGAGAAATAAACAAGGTAACGCAGCCCGAGTGGCTTTGACATTTAGCTGAATTCTAATAGAAAGTGACAGGAGATTGACATTAAATGGAATTCATACAGGGCATCGAGAACAGCCAGAGTGTGAGAGACAAACAAACAGGGAGGCTGTTCACACTTGCTCATACAAACAGCCAGATCCTCTTATTTAAACATACTCTTCCAACAATTATCCTCTATTTATAAAGTTTCACATCAGAGCAAAATAAAAAACTAACCAGATTTGTTTAACTTGGTAAAACTAATACAGCTTTAAATATAAATACTTGAACTTGATTTTTTTATTGAATAAAAACTATTTATAGTTTTTGTTAATAAAAATGAAAAAGTCTATATAAATAGCTCTTCAGATGCTCGGAAGGCAAAGGGTATGTTTTGAACTAAAGACCAATGACATCATTTTCTCCCCATAACCTCTTTAAATTAGTTTTTTTTTTTTTTATGTTTCGACCGTGGGGTCAAAAACAGATCCCCTTATATCAGATAAGTCTGCAAACACTGAGCGGGTCACTCCTTCTACCAGGGTAGAAAATAAAAGGCTGTGATTTTAAGCATTACAAGAAGAACTAATGATTCTGGCCCAGTGATTACACTTTTAAACATTAGTCTACGGAAAAGCATTCCTTTGAGGTATTACACAACACCATCCAATAGTTCCCAGTAAATAAAAAGTACCACCTCCCTGCTAAGGCTCCCATCTGGGGTCATCTGGGGTCATATCCTCCCATGGTGATTTATTTTTCTATTGTAAAGCCAATGAAAAAAGAAGTGCATAAAAAAAAGAGACTTTTACAGGCCAAGATAACTGCCGTCAGTTTTTTCAATGATTTATAAACGTTTTAAACTGCTTCAGACACCGAATATTTCTCAAATCTCAACAGCTGGAATAAAATCTTCAAATTTAAAGCCATAAAAGTTAATGAATTAATTAATAATGAATTCACACACCGCTTAACAGCAAGCCTGTGACTGATTAACTTGATGTACTTTTTAAACATTAACAAAATAGATATTCTTACATATATAAAATAAACTGTAAATGTCCTAAAAAACAATATTAAATTAAAAGAATTCTAGAATTTCAAAACCAACCAAAGACTGAGAAAAAGTAATCTAGTTTATTAAAAAAGTAAATCTATTCCAAGAATCAGGAGACCTTTTTCCAATCCAAGTTGTCACAGAAAACTATGTCTGTAACAGGTCAAATCACACAACAGGCTCTGGGATGAGGTGAGAGTAAAACACTGTGAATTCCCCACTTTGATGTAATGAGTGTTAAATGATGTGCTGTGGAGCAGAAAGGCCACTCAGAGGCATTAGATTGGGGGTCATCTTACCCTGGAGGACTCATAGGAAGGACTGGACTCGCCACCTGGGGCCCAAGACGCTTGGTTGGTCCGCTCATCCATACCTGTCAGGACAAGAGATGTACGACTCAGTCACCAGGTCCCCACAACTCACATAGATGCATTTATACCCATCTGCTTCTCAACTTGACTCAAAATAAAAACAAGACATTGGTGAATAAGGGAACATTTTAGCAGTGTCTCTCCTGTTCATATGAAGAAGATGAAAAGGAAAAAATGTTGCTGTCCTTCTAAAGGATACCAGGAAACTTTGTTTGGCAGCACCTCTGTTAGTAGCATCAATGGCAGTTAATCCATAAGATTAACTAAGAATAACCTGCTGCCCGCGCTTCCTTATAACCTTTTAAGGCACAACTGAGGCATTTTGTTAAAAGCAAACAAAGTCACAGTTGAAGGTAGTGCAGTTTTATGAAATAAAGTTATAATTTAGAATTTCTTTAAATTTCATTCAACAAAGTGCAAATGCAAATTACTTTTACCTAAAACTTTAATTAAAACCATTCAAAAAAACAGCAAATTTTTATTTGTTATATTGTTCTTAAATAAAAGCACAGCCATTCTTCCAAAGGCATGGGGAGTGCAAAATAATATTTTCCTCTTTGTGTTGATATAGCCGTTTGTGTTAACGGATGCTGTCCAGATTGACAGCCAGCTACAAATTACTCGTGTCTTTTGCCTATTAGATGTACACAGAGCTGTTCATTAGCTTAGCATCATCGTCATAAATAAGCCAGTCTCTTGCGAACAGAGGTATCAAGTAACAGAGTACAAAATACTTTGTGACTGTAGTTAAGTACACTTTTTAGGTATCTATACTTTACTCCATTACTGATTTTTCTTCCTACTTCTGACTTCTACTCATTACATTTTCACACAAGTATCTGTATATTCTATTCGTTACATTTTTAAAACAAACGTTACTCGTTACTCTTGGCTTCGGTTTAATGTTTATAAATATTTATTTCACGTCATGTGCGCCATCCAATGCAGATTATTGGCTCCATCCACATCTAGTGAAAACTAGTGTAATTGGATGAGTCACATAACGCAAACACTCATTGGTTAGCTAAAGAAAATCATCAGAAGCAAGCAGGTGTTCTTCAAAATGCAAACGTGAATTGTCTATGCCATGCTACAATGTGGGATTCAGAAAAATATGTTGACATTTCTGAAAGGTCGGACACAGGCGAGAGCGTATCTGGAGATGGAGAACAACAAGACCTCCCTCATCCTTGGCCCTATCTCAAAGAATTTTTCAAAGCAGTCGTAAAATTAAGCTTTTAATTCATATAGCGGCATCTGGTTGTTTTTTTAAAGGTTACTTTATACTTTTATACTTTAAGTAGTTTTTGGTGCACATACTTTTTCACGTTTACTTGAGTAAAGAGGTAAAGATGATACTTGATACAGAGTGTTTTTAAACTGCAGTAACTATACTTCTACTTAAGTAACAAATGTGTGTACCTTTGACACCACTTCTTGCGAAACACAGTCTTCCCAAAAGCGGCATCAGCCGCTTTCAGAAGGCTTGGTTGCTCCAACTATACACCACCCCAGTTTGCCTGGCGGTTGAGTTGTTGCTAAATAACGGTGTTGGGGTTTTGCACGTCTGTCTATTGGCATGTGACGAACAAACAGCAGAGGGGAGGCTTACTTAAAATAAAAGATGAGAGGATGTGACTGAAGTGCAACTGTCCTAAACATTTACTCGCTCTGTGGTGAATTGGGCTCTGGCATTTACTCGCCAAATGAAAAATTTGGTCGCATTTGGTGAGGGGTGAGTTTTAATTTTCGGACCCTGCAGGCAACATGTCCAGATTCACCTCAGCTTGTGGTATGGGTCGGTTGAGGGGACACTGAGGGTCTCGGGTGGCTAGCGTGCTGTACTTGGGCTAGTGGGGTGGACTACCTGGGTTGAGTTTGCCTGGCAGCCATGACAATGAGAGGACCATATGGGTGTGGGGGCCTCTTTGGGGGTGAGTGTGCTGTTTATGAGGGGATGCCAAGGAGGGGCTGTAGCCGGCGTCTTTTGGGGGAGATGCCCCTCCTGGGGGTGGTTCTGGGGTCGTATTTGTGGCTAGACTTGGCCATCCTTATGTCTGCCCTCCTTGTGTCCCGGTGATCTGGGATGCCTCTGGATATTTGGGGTCAGGATTGCCTCTTTATCGGTCCTGGGATCTGTAGGGCAAGTTTGAGGCTAACAACGCCTGCTATTAAGGGTACTTTTACTGTATATCATCTGTCTTGTCACTCTTTACTGTCTTTGTCTCTCTCTCTCTCCCCTTAGTTTTTTCTTGCCTCTTTCGTTCTCACCTCCCTTTCCATCTCCGAGTCTATTGTTACGATTTTACTCGCAAAATAATTTTCAATAAAGTTCTATAATATAATAGATATGAAGATTTTGGTTGTTTTTTTAGCATTTCACCTCCCAACAACTAATCAAACCTATAATGGGAAAAGTGCTAATTCAATTCTTCGATCGCTTGATAAGTGCATCTCAATGGAATCAATCAATTGTCCAAAAAAAGTGCGTAAAACTCAGCTATGTCATTCTTATCATTGCTGCTAGCATGAAAAGGTATTCTGTTGTTTTGTTTTTTTTGGACAAAATCTAAAACAATTAAATGTGATCATCTAGTATGATCAGAAGTTAAAAAGTTTCAAAATGTTGTTTATTTTACCTTAAATCCCTCAATATTCCATATTGGTACATATGCTCCAAGCATGCCATGAGGCAACCAACAACTGTGTAATTTGATGTTGGCAAGGCTAAACAGCTGAGAACTGAAACCTGATAAAACTAATTCTAAGATGAACAAAAACCTCCATCTCATATTTCAAAAGTCAAAAGGAAAAAAGCAGAAATCAATAATGCCAAACTAAACTGTAAAGCAAGAGCATCTGGCATATGCTGAAAAACATAATATCTGGTATTTAGAATCTAATTTATGTGATATAGCCGCTTAGAAATATTCGATGCCTGTTCATCCTGCAGCAAATTGTGTTGTATCAACACAATATCAACAAAATCTGCAGCACCATAGCATCTACATTGGTTGAGTTATTGATTAATCTTTGTAATTCCATCTGTCTCAATAGACAGCAATACAATATGTTCAGTTTCAAGTTCAAATAAAGATAATCCAATTTGTTTTTTTTTCTTTAAATGGGTGTACTTGAAAATAATAACATTGCACAAAACAAAGAAAATCTTTCAGCCTGTTGTATTTGTTTCCTATTTGAGTTTTACAGCTTGTACAAAGGCTTCTTAATGCAACACGTTATCAAAGCAGTCAAATGAAAACCCCAGTCAAACAAATGCAGTTAAATGATATATCAATAATTTTAGATCATAGTCAAATGATCACCTGTATAAAATTTAAAATCTAGTTATGAAGCTATAACTATTTCTATCTTGCTGTATTTTTTTTTTACTCATTAAAACCATGTTCGGTGGCATTGGAGGAAATGACGAGGTTAAACTACATGCTTACAGTAAAGCTCTTGATATTATCAGAAATAATTCAAACTGGTTTCATAGCATATTGTTTTCCTTCTTATTTTTATCCTCCTAGGTGGAAACAATTTCTTCACCAAAAATTTGTCAGAGCTAATTATATACCCAAGCAGAAAGTCGGTGACATTTCACTACCCAGAAATCACGCTCCAGTGAGCAGAGCGGTAGATTTTAAGTTTCATCCTGACATAGATGAAGCTTTGCTTCTTGCACGCTGTTGATTCATTTCCTCTTCTTCTGGGGCTCTATGGAAAACTCCATGGGCAAGTTTAACAGCTTTTGTTTTTTTTGTTTTTTTGGGTTTTTTTCATTTTTAGCTTTGATACCTGTGTAACTAAACCAAGTACTCCCACAGGTATTCTAAGTATATCAGCGTGGTGCATTCGGGCCAAACTGAGAACTTTCACACACAAACTGCATCAGTGGTTGGTGTTTGCAGGCTCGCCTGATAACAGCTCCTTTAAGGGTTTAACGGACCCCTCCTCACAGTTAATTCACAGTCTACACAGGGAGATTGGTCACTACCCTAGGAGATTTAAGAGAATAACTACAAAAATGCTGGCCTCAGTGTGAGAACAAGGACTTTTGAAATCCTGTCTGCTTTTCTGTTAGATTTCTGTAACTGAAAACAATTTTCCTTAGTTTCTATAAAAATGTGTTTTTAATCTATTCTATTTTATTACTATTTGTGGTTATGAGAATGTTGTTTCATAAGCTAGTTGTAGAGGAGAAATGATAGATAAAGCTGATAGGCTGCCTCTCTGATGGACCATTATGCAGCAGCTGCAGCCTCTCAAAGCCCAGATTTAGCAAGAGGTTTTCTGACAGGAAAACAGGGAGCATTTCAAAAACTATTAACCATAAAACAACATTATGCAACGTAACTGGAACATTACAAAGCATCAGCCTGGTCAGTATCAGTATAATACATCTCAACAATGTTGATTATTCATTTGACAAATTATTTCTCTCTTTAAACTTGGAATTTTCTTCTCTATCATAGATCTCAGTCTATATGAAAACTGTTCAAAGCTGCTTAATTCATTATTAACACAGATGCAACTGGACTTCCTCAAAAAAAAAAAGAAAAACTAAAATTTAAAATAAGAAGTTTTGCTTTTATCTTCAGTGAGCTGGATTGCTAGATTATGTAACAGTTATTGTAAAGTGTAACATACAGAGGAGGACCAGGACCATTTAAAAAAGCCAGAAATGGAAAAAAAAAAAAAAAAGGTTATTAATTATTATTATTATTATTATTATTATTAATCTCAGAATTCTGAGTTTTAATCTCAGAATAAAAAAATCAGATTACAAAGGATACTTTTGCCAAAGCCCAACACGATCACTAATCATGAAGCAAGATTTTTAAAAGCAGTCTTAATTCAATGAGAATAATTCTAAAATTAAAGTCAGAATTTGGAGAATAAAGCCAGTCAAAAGACTTTTTTGAGTTAACATTTGTTTTTTGTTTTTTTGTTTTTTTTAGTCAATGCCTCTAATCTTCTTTTGTAGTCACTTTGCCTC